TCCTCCACCATCTCCCGGAGTCCACTCAAGCTCACACCAACTGCCTCAGTGACTCCATTTAACCACCTCATCCTCTGCTGTCCCCTTCTTCTTTTGCCATCTATTGTGCCCAGCATTAGGCTTTTCTCCAGGGAGTCCTTCCTTCTCATTAGGTGGCCAAAGTATTTGAGTTTCATCTTCAGGATCTGGCCTTCTAAAGAGCAGTCAGGGTTGATCTCCTCAAGGACTGACGGGTTTGATCGCCTTGCGGTCCAAGGGAATTGCAGGAGTCTCCTCCAGCACCACAACTCAAAGGCCTCAATCCTTTGGCACTCAGCCTTCCTTATGGTCCAGCTTTCACAGCCATACACTGCAACTGGGAAAACCATAGCCTTGACTATACACACTTTTGTTGGCAGGGTGATGCCTCTGCTTTTTAGTATGCTGTCTAGATTTGCCATAGCTTTCCTCCCCAGGAGCAAGCATCTTAAAATTTCTTGGCTGCAGTCCCCATCTGCGGTGATCTTGGAGACCAGGAAAATAAAATCTGTCACTACCTCCATTTCTTCCCATCTATTGGCCAAGAACTGAGAGGACTGGATGCCATGATCTTAATTTTCTTAATGTTGAGTTTCAGGCCAACTTTTGCACTCTCCTTCTTCACCTGCATGAAAGGGATCTTTAGTTCCTCTTCACTTTCTGCCATGAGAGTGGTATCATCTGCATATCTGAGGTTGTTGATATTTCTCCCAGCAATCTTAATTCCAACTGGTGATTCATCTAGCCCCGCCTTTCTCATGATGTGCTCTGCATATAAGTTAAATAGGCAGGGAGACAGTATACAGCCTTGCCAAACTCCTTTCTCAATTTTGAACCAATCAGTGGTTCCGTGTCCAGTTCTCACTGTTGCTTCTTGACTTGCATATAGGTTTCTCAAGAGACAAATAAGATGGTCAGGTACTCCCATCTCTTTAAGAATTTGCCACAATTTGTTGTGATCCACACAATCAAAGGCTTTAGCATAGTCAATGAAGCAGAAGTGGATGTATTTCTGGAACTCCCTAGTTTTCTCCATGATCCAGCGTATGTTGGCAATTTGATCTCTAGTTCCTCTCCCCCTGCAAAATCCTGCCTGTACTTCTGGTAGTTCTCGGTCCACATACTGCTGGAGCCTAGCTTGTAGGATTTTGAGCATCACTTTGCTAGCATGTGAAATGAGTGCAATGGTGCGGTGGTTTGAACATTCTTTGGCATTGCCCTTCTTTGGGATTGGAATGTAAACTGAACTTTTCCAATCCTGTGGCCACTGTTGAGTTTTCCAAATTTGCTGGCATATTGAGTGTAGCACATTTACTACATCATCTTTTAAGATTTTGAATAGCTCAGCTGGAATACTGTCACCTCCACTAGCTTTGTTGCTGCTCAGACTCCCTAAGGCCCATTTGACTTCACATTCCAGGATGTCTGGCTCAAAGTCAGTGACCACCCCATCATGGTTATCAGGGACGTTAAGCTCTTTCTTGTATAGTTCTTATGTGTAATCTTGCCACCTCTTCTCAATCTCTTCTGCCTCTGTTAGGTCCCTGCCATTTTGGTCCTTTATCAGGCCCATCTTTGCATGAAACATTCTCTTCATATCTCCAATTTTCTTGAATAGATCTCTGGTCCTCCCTTTTCTATTGTTTTCTTCTATTTCTTTGCACTGTTCATTTAAGAAGCATTCTTATCTCTTCTAGCTAGTCTTTGGAATTCTGCATTCAGTTGGGTGTATCTTTCTCTTTCTCCCTTGCCTTTTGCTTCCCTTCTTTCCTCAGCTATTTGTAAAGCTTCCTCAGACAGCCATTTTGCTTTCTTGTATTTTTTTTCTTTGGGATGGTTTTAGTTGCTACCTCTTGTACAATGTTGCGAACCTCCGTCCATAGTTCTTCAGACACTCTGTTTATAAGATCTAATTCCTTAAATCCATTTGTCACCCCTACTGTATATTCATCAGGGATATGATTTAGGTCGTACCTGAATATCCTAGTGCTTTTCCCTACTTTCTTCAATTTAAGCCTAAATTTTGCAACGAGAAGCTCATGATCTGAGCCACAGTCAGCTCCTGGTCTAGTTTTTACTGACTGTATAGAGCTTCTCCATCTTTGGCTGCAGAGCACATAGTCAAACTGATTGCTGTGTTGACCGTCTGGTGATGTCCATGTATAGAGTCGTCTCTTGGGTTGTTGGAAAAGAGTGTTTGCTAAGACCATCGTATTCTCTTGACAAAATTCTACCAGCCTGTGCCCTGCATCATTTTGTACTCCAATCCCCATCCCCCATGATGATAAGGACATCATTTTTTGGTGTTAATTTTAGAAGGTGTTGTAGGCCTTCATAGAACTGGTCAACTTCAGCCTCTTCAGCACCAGTGGTTGGGGCACAGACTTGGACTACTGTGATGTTGAATGGTTTGCCTTAGATTCGAACTGAGATCATTCTGTCATTTTGGAGATTGTATCCCAGTACTGCTTTTCCTACTCTTTTATTGACTATGAAGGCTACTCCATTTCTTCTGAGGGATTCTTGCCTGCAGTTGTATACCTGATGGTCATCTGAATTAAATTCACCCATTCCTGTCCATTTTAGTTCACTGATTCCTAAGATGTCAATGTTCAGTCTTGTCATCTCTTGTTTGACCACATCCAGCTTGCCTTGATTCATGGATTTTACATTCCAGGTTCCTATGGAGTATAGATCTTTGCAGCATCGGACTTTCCTTTCACCACCAGATACATCTGCAACTGAGTGTCCTTTCGGCTTTGACCCAGTCACTTCATTCTTTCTGGCACTACTAGTACTAGCCCTCCGCTCTTCCCCAGTAGCATATTGGACACCTTCCGACCTGAGGAGCTCATCTTCCGGCGTCATATCTTTTTGCCTTTTGGTACTGTCCATGGGGTTTTCATGGCAAAGATACTGGAGTGGGTTGCCATTTCCTTCTCTAGTGGATCACATTTTGTCAGAGCTCTCTGCTATGACCTGTCTGTCTTGGGTGGCCCTGTATGGCATAGCTCATAGCTTCATTGAGCTACGCAAGCCCCTTCGCCACGACAAGGCAGTGATCCATGAAGAAGTTTAACATTAGCCTAATGGTACTTGTTTTTCAAATGGGGGGAGGGGAGGGAGCCCTTCATGCTTTCCCTATTGAATAATTTCCTGATCCAAATCATGAACATACTATTCTGAGCTTTCTGAAAGGACTGCATATATTCAGTCAGTCAATAAGTAAATTACTGTTCCATAATTTTTACTGGAAAGTTTAAAGCTTCTAAGGTTAAGAGATTTTTGCCATCATATTGTTCTAAATCTTCATGATCACAAGTCTCATCCCTTCATGACAAGGCAGAACTAACATATCCAATATCTTTGTCATAACATCACTAAGAATGTGTCCAGATCTGCTGCTGCTGATGTGATTTAGGGCTCATATGAACATGCAAGGTAAAATTATCTTGGGAAAAATACATCAGGCCAATGCTCAATATCTTGCACAAATGCTAGCACACAAATTACATCATTTGGGAACTGGACATCAAGACCGACATCTGCATGCGCTATTTGCCTACTTCCCATAATCCTTCCCCTCTTCAAGCTGTGGAAATAACAAGGAACCCGGGCAAACACACAGCTCATGCAAGACTTCACTTGCCTGGGGGCAGCCCTTGTCCCTCACTGACCACCAAATTGCTTACTGTCAGGATGAATTTCAGAACTGGTGTCACATTTTCTTCAACAGTTTCTAGACAGACTGTCAAAAGAATAGTGGCGTTTATATTGCTAATTTCTCAGAGGTGAGGACTAACAAACAGCAATGTGTCGGTGGGCTGCATTTGGCTTGATGGGCACAAATTGTGTAACATTGTCTGTATGATCATCACTCCTGATAGCTGTTTTCATTTTGCAAGCAATACACAAAAAACAACGCTGCAGGTATCATTATTTTCTGATTTGTACATGTTACCAGTCAAATAACCTAGTTAACAGTGCCCATTGCAGATCCTAGATTAAGATCTGTATCAACTTAATAAAGGCACAAATGAAAATATACAACTTACCAGACCCGAGGCACCCAGAATCCAGGCTTTTTTTCACCAGGTCTTAGTTTTAAATTCAGATTTTTAGAAACACTAACATTTATTCGGAATATGCCATGGCAGTCTTCCTATCATAAATATAAAATATTTTTGTGAAATATTACTTTGCACATAAACAAAACAATCCGTATGACAAACACTACGGACTGATATAAATGCTGAATATTATGCTTGATATGAAAGATGATCAGTGGATGAAAAAAGGTACCAGTTATTATAAGCAACTCTCTCCCTGCACAATCTGAGTTGCATTATCTGTGTTTATATGCCCTTCATGAGACACTTATTGTGCATGGGAGTTTGCAGGACTTCTTTGCTATGCCATGTTCCTCCAGGGCCCTTCCTGTGTGTTTCAGCAGTTTGTGCCTTTGGTTTTGTTTTTAAAGCAAGGAAGTTTTGGTGTTTCAAATCACAACAAACTAGAAAAAAAGCCTCCTATATTGTTACAAATCTGCTTTATTGAAGTTACATCACATCTCAGCCTTGTAGTAGGTTAACTGAATATATAGAAAGGCAGAGAAGTACAAAATCCAGGGGGAAAAGCCCATGTAAAGGACACATTTTTCCTTCCAGAGTGGAAAAGGAAGAAATGCATATGCTTAGTGGGCCACATCAAATCAGCAGCTCCAACTACATGCTTAGAGAGGTGGAGAGAATAAATTCTGCCTTCCGTTTTCCCTCTCCATTTACGAACAGCTTTGCTGATCACGTTGTCAGCATCAACAGTTCATTGGAAACATGGCTAACGTGAAGGGTTGGAGCATCTCTCCCAGTCTCTTCCCAGCCACCACCTTGGAGCCTAGTAAAGCTTCACTGCCTGAAGACCAGTGCTGGAGGACTCTTTGGTGGAGGCAGGCTAATTAATGTAAAAGCATCATGGACATGTGAGGCTTAAAGAATGGAAAATCTTTACCTACCCAGGTGAGGGACAAAGAAGGAACTATAAAAGAAGGTGCAAGTTGAAGCCGGGAGGAAGGAAGGCTGTCATGAGTGTGAGATGTGGCTGTCAAGCCAAGTTGGCGGGCTAATTGTGGACAACCTTCATGTGGAATACAGTGTAATATCTCTGTATTGTGCTTTATTCTCTCTCCTGTTTGGTGCTCAGGTGTTGGATTGGTTTAGTTCATTTGAGCTGTTTCATTGAATATTGCATGTCATACTGATATTTTGCCAACATGATGCTTATCTGCCATTATTCTCACTGGATTTTGCATTGCATTTAATGCTCTTTGATACCTTGTAAATTACATTTACGATAATTCATTTGTTATGAAGTTCCGGGCCTTGGGCACAATTTTTCTTTTTGGAAAAGTAGCAAAGTTACAAATAAATGGGAAATGAAGATGAGGAGGTATGTACACATCTAATATGCTACTGCGGTGCATGAGGGACAGTATATCAGGACCATTGCGCTGGAGATACAGCGCTACCTCACAGTTGCAATGTAACTTTGCCTTGGATCACACAGTGTCTTATGCAGGTCTCATGAGAAGTATTATCATGCCATTTATTAGCTGGATCTCGGAGGACTGCATGTGCTCTGTATGTCAAAAAGATCTGATGCTGCATCTGTGGCATCCTCAGTTAAGGGCTCTAAATAGCAGGGACTGTAAAGACTCCATGAGAGTCTGTAGAACTGCTACCAGGTGATAGTGGGATAGAATCCTTTACCCATACCAGCCAGCTTACACTTTTGAGAGCAGCCTGAAGGATCACCCTTGTATGCTTGCCAGGGAGAGCAGTCAGGCTGATAAGCATGACAGACTGGGTCTTTTTGGCTGTGGCTCCACACTGAAAATCCATTTTAAATATGTGATCTCCAGCACTGTAAGCATTCAAAAAGCCTCTAAGAAGCTCTTTGTTTATAATACTCTTCTCTTGAATGAAGATCTTGTTGTGTTGCTGTATATATGGGGCTGCAAGATTTTTAAATTATTCAATACATTACTGTCCCAACTGGGATGAATACTGTTTCTAGTTAGCATTGCTGGTGATGATTGATTTTTTTTAAATCCAAAAGTATTATAAAAATGTTTTATAATATTTTGTGGTTTTAACCCTGTATTGATTTTATATTGTGGATTTATATGTCAAAAGCTATCTTGGGTGGATTTGACCAAAAAAGGTGGCCTATAAATATTTTGAGTAATTTAGAAATGGAAAGAGGGAAGGAAGGATGGACAGACGGACGGACGGAATCGTCTGGCATGGTGGACTTGGTAAAAAAGCAGCTTCACACACATTTGGCTTTTTTGTATTCTTTCCATTAAACCTCAAATATCCCCAGTGCTTTCTCCCACTGGTACCAAAATGAGACTTCCACAGCCAGCAGTATTTTAACCTATCTGCAAAAGAAGTAACTTGCACAAACAGGGCAATGAAAGTGAAACTTAGTCTTACCCTTGCAATAATATGCGGATCATTGCACTTAGCCAGTTTCCCAGCAAATAGTTGAACTCCAAAGCTTGCAAAGACAAGCATTAATGTCAGTAAAAGAATGGAAACCTGTATGAGCAAATTAAAAGTGGTCATTTTTTCCTTCAAAATAGCGTTATGTTTAATGACTGATCTTCTGTGGATGCCTCTGCCTTAAACACCAGTTTAGTCAAATGGCACATCGAATTGCTTGGGTCTCTTCCTTGAGTCATACATGCACAGGATGCCACAGTGGTGTTGGGGCTCTGAGGATCTGGGCCTCCATTGGTCCCAGGCTCACTGGGTGCTTTTGGGCCAGGCACTGATTCTCATCTTAATCTACCTCACAGGGTTGTTGCAAAGAAAGAAAAACCCAGGAGGATTATGTAAACTGCCTTTGGTTCCTTGTGTAGAAAAAGTAGGTATAAATAAATCTAAGGAAATATAAATAGATTAAGTAAATATAGATATCTCCTATAATAAGCACAAGTAAATAAATATAGGAGAGTGTGTGTGAGAGTGATTGCTCTGCAATGTGACATAGAGTTCCTACAAATCAGTGGCTTCCCTTTTCAACCATCTGGATGTCAACAACAATAATGCATATTCCACCATGCGATGCGATATGCAGATGACTCCCCATTATAAGATGGCAAGCAGGAAGCAAAGCTTGCAGCATTCCCTGAGGAGGAAGGCAGATAAATGCTGGCTGTTCTTCTCTGCTTTTACATGCATTCCTCTCTCCCTCGACCCCATGCATTTGTACCCAGAGATGTGTGGCGTTTCCCTAGATTTGAAGACCTTTGTACTCCATCCAGGGATCTACCACATGCCCTGTATTTGATGTACTCAGATACTCTGTTCTGCAGTCACACACACAGAACAGTCCTGCCAGGTCAGTTCAAAGTGCACTTAGTCCAGCATTCTGGATGTCATGGTGACCAACTGAGCATCACCTGGGAAACCTGCAATTGGACGTATTCATGTCTATATTCATGGCACAATGGAATGCAAGAGGTACTTGCAAATTGGGGGAAGTTCTGCATCCAGAACTTTGGAGGGTCATGGAACAGCTGCACAAAACTGCCATGTTTTATTGAGTGCTTGTAAACCATGCCTGAAGACTTTCTGGCTGAGGAATGGAAGTAAAAAAACCAATTCAATAAAATAAGTAAGCACATGAAATAGCATTCAGAAATTAATGCAGTGTCTGGCAAAAAAGCAGAACTCTTTTTCAGGTATAAAATTCAGCACATTTTGTGCTCAATGCCGCAACAGTGGCACTCCAGTCTTAAAGGGAGTTATATAAACTGCCACCAATCAATACTGATACAGTGTGGACAAATACAGTTGAATGCAGTAAGTTGTAATCATTTTTTCTTTTCTTTTCATATTGTTTTGGAACACTAAATGAATTATACTTACTAGAAAGATTTCCTTGAAGCCACTGAACAGTTCTCGGACAACCTTTCTCATCTGAGGCACTAATTTAAAGATTCGAAGGGGGCGGAGACATCGTAGCACCATTAAGAGCTGAGCTCCCGATTTAGCTGGAACATTTTGTGGCATCCAGCAGAGAAATATCAAGCTTACCTTTTGCAAAAGGAGGAAGAACAAACAGGGATGCAGTGTGATGTTTAAAAATGGTTTATTAAAGTCTTGTTTGCAACAACATAAACTTGCACTAGCGGCTTCCTTATTAAAAGGATGTTTTTGGGTCATTGAAGGATTCAAAAAGTTTGGAAGGCACATAGGAAGAGCTCTCATTCATTTTGATCCTTGTTATTCCCTGTGATTGCAACAGGACCTGGCTCCAAGCAAAGAGAATATGTATTTTTTAAAAAAATTGCTTTAATGATTCAGCCACCACCACCATCATCACCACCACGTAAAGCTTTGAGATGCCTCATGGTAATATTCACCACTGCCAAATAAAAGTGTGATATGTAAAATACATATTAAACTGAGTTTATCCTAGCTTTTCTTTAAGGTGTTGGCATTTTATAATATCTGAAGCTTTTGTGCAGATTTTTGTTATTGCTGTTGTTCAAAGCAAGAAGGATTTCTGAGAAATGACCCCATTTTCTGTCTAAATACATGCAGGGCTTGAATACAAATTGATTGTGACAAATTATATTCATTATAACCATGACACAGTTTAATATCTACAAGATTTAATCTTGCTCATAAACTTTTCCTTTAGAAGTCTTGTGCAGATACATTGCTATGAATTTTTAAAAGGTTCTTTTTACAGAACATTAGGGAATAGGGATTCAATCTGGACTGAATGGAATTACATCCCCCTGAAGATTCACACTTGCAGTTTGGGAGAGGTCAGGGAGTCGGTCCAACCTGGCTGTCCTTGGTAGGTGGCCAGGAGCTCATTTACACAGCTCATACAAGTGCATCAACTTGATCTGTTCTGATCTGGCCACCATTTCCGATGCCTTAGCTGAACTGATTTCTGGCAGACATCCTGAAGGGACTGCTGTAATGGGACTAATAGGACATTGGAAGCCTACGTACGATGGATATACTGATGAAAGTACTCTGGAGTTTAGATGAAAGCTGGAACTGTGTTTAAACACTGCTTTTAATATAGTTGCAGTGTTTTTGATTGTCAAAAGAACCAGAAGCCCTCAGTACAACACTCAATGCCCTGGGTGGTGGTGGTCATTTGCTGTTGTTAAATACAATAACATCCCGTATCAGTTGACACTTTTTGGCACTTGCTGTCCTTTGGACTCTCTCAGCATTCAAATATATCCTCCTCTCTTCTAAACACATAATAAGATACATGCTGAATCAGACCATTATTTTTCCTAGTGTGGGATCTGATTGTTATTCATTCAAATCAAACTTGAATCAGTTTTTGAAAAATTAATTCTGCAAGCCATAGAAAATTAAGCATGCCAGAGGGGGAAAAAAAGAACAAAAACTTACAAGGTATATAAAAATGTCCATGACACCCCCAAAGTCTCTTATTACTGCAGTTGGAGTGAAAAACAAGCCATCAGCCATAATCTTCAAATTAAGTTCAATGCTCATGAATATTACAAAGACATATTCAGCAATCTGAAAAGCAAAGGGAAGATCAAGGAATATTTCATACTATATGCAAGAAAGAAACAACCTAATTATTTCGCACAGTCAGTTACTTCCATAGAGCTACCTGAAGTGTTGGCGCATGCATCACTCTTCGAAAGGGAGATTCAAACATCATAGAAATGCAGGAGCATATAGTAACAATAATCATCACCCAGTCCAAATAAGTAACCAATCCTAACAAATCACTGCAAAATGAAACAAAAGAAACCCAATTAGGGGGACACATAAACAAAGAGAAATGCCTACCAAACATGTAGTATGGTTTAGAAAGGCAGCAGCAGAAAATCTCTTACAATGTCAACATTTTAGAAAAGTATGATAAATTATTCCAGTGAAATATTCATAAAAAGATTATTCCAGTGATGTATTCGCAAATCAACATTTTCTAGAGAGATGTACTTTTAAGAACCCATGCTTATAAATATATAATTATCATTTCCTCTATACTTACTAAAGTTGATGATATTTGGTATTTTTCACTGCTCCAGTAACAGGGTCTGTTTTAGAGCTGCAACAGAGAAAAGACATGTTCAAACTGCATTGTGTAACATTATGATGATGAGTATGCAGTAGAGAATAGATTCCTAAGTCTTCATTTTGAAAGCTTGAAAAAACAAGCAGAGCTATGGATATTTTGCACCACATTCCTTCAAACTCTTTTATGTATGGCAACTTTTCCCAGCATGATGTGCACACATCTGAAAGATAGCAGGTTGGGAAAGACTGATTTATGGCTTGTGAGAACTAAGGGAAGTATTCTAAAAAATTTCAACCAATCACAGAAATCTAATCTAAAATTCTAATAATATCAGTTAAGTTTAGAATAGGGTTTAATTTAGAAACAGGATGACTAAGCAGATGACAGATGTAGTAGATAATTATAAAATTATAATGTGTTCATCTTTCATAATACTTAGAACTGGGGACACCCAATGATATTCACTGGTAGACTGACAAAATAAATTATTTTGTTATATGTAATAAGTAAAATTAATTAACAAACAGGATTCACTACTCCAGGATATAGTGACTGCCACTTCCTCAAATGGCTTTGAAAAAAGGTTAGTCAAAACCACAAGACTGGATCCCAGACTTGTTCATACTTAGGGCAGACCCAATAAAATGTAAAGTAGTAATTATTATCCATTTATTTCAATGGGGCATACTCTAAATTTAACGGCAAAAGAAGGGGGCGGCAGAGAATGAGGTGGCTAGATGCAGTCACTGAGGCAGTTGGTGTGAGCTTAAGTGGACTCCGGGGGATGGTGGAGTACAGGAAGGCCTGGAGGAATGTTGTCCATGGGGTCGCGAAGGGTCGGACGCAACTTCACAACTAGCAACAACAACATACTCTAAATATTACTAAGTCAGGATCCAACCCATGGAGGACAGGACCATCAATAGCTATTAGGTATAATGAGTAACTGTTTGCTCACAGGCAGTGTTCCTTTGAAAATCAGAAGCAAGGGACAGACACTGCCCTGCTCATGGGAACTCTGTTGTCTAGCCTCTGATAGAATGTGCTGGACCAAATGGACTTTGTTCTGATTCATCATGGCAGTTCTCAAGCATTTGTGTCCATTTGTTCAATTTAGAGAGCCTGCACTGTAATTCCAAAAGACACTTAAACTGTGTTCATAAGCACAATATGCTGCATAACAATTTTGTCCAAGACCTGGGGCAGTATCGTATATGGCTGATGTGCCAGTTCACAGTGATAGATAGATAGATAGATAGATAGATAGATAGATAGATAGATAGATAAACTTTATTGTGGTCAAAAACCAGCCCCATTCAATAAATACATAGATTTTAAAAAGTAAATATATAAAACATTATCTATATTAAAACTCCACTTGGATTAATAAATACTTCAACACAATATCAGTCATCTTAAATCGGTGACAATCCCCAGACTTTGTCCTTGTCCAACTAGGTAGAGCCACACTCCCCCAGGACCTGTCTTCCGACACCCATCATGGCCACGAAGAATTTAGCAACACTGTATGTTATTGTTGGGTTAGTGTCAGACAGCAATATATAAATGTATTGTTGTTCCGTGTGGCCCAGGAAGCGATTCATCAGTGGGGAAATGAGTGCAGTGTGAATATCCCTGTAGAATGTGCACCTCAGCAGGACGTGCTCTGTAATTTCTGTCTGTTCCGTATCACAGGGACAAAGGTGCTCAGACCAGGGGATATTTTTGTACCATCCCTCCAAAACTGTTGAGGGGAGTCTGTTAAGGCGGGCCAAGGAAAAAGCCCTTCTGGGTTTATGGAGTTCCAACTGTTTGAGGTAGAGTGCAGCTATTCCAATGTGTCTATAGTCCTCCCTAAGATAGAATTCAGGGGCTCTGTTGAGATTGCTTTGTCTTTCAATATCTGCAATATGCTGTTTGATGGTTTCTGTTGCCTGTTCAAAACCCATATTTAGTACAGTCCGCAGGTGGAGGCCCAAGAGGGCTATTTTCTGCTCGATTAATTAAATCCAGTTGGATTTGAGGTCGTCTTGAAGGATTAGTGGAATACTGGAAAGTATGCCAATCTGAACCAGTGTGCAAGAATGGCCCCCAGATCCTAGTTTCAATTTGGATCTGACCGGTCTCCAATCTTGTCTTTGCATTGGCGACATCCCTAGGAACACCCAGTATCGCCCTCAGAAATTTTGATAGGACACGTTGTAGTACTTGGGTATTCGGGAAAGGCCCCAATTGAGATCCATACAGTTGTTGAGATAGTACTTTTGTTTGGTATAGTTGGACGGCTAGGAGGCTGTAATGGCCACATTTAGACCTCATGAATTGTATTATGGCTGATGAGCTTCTCTGAGCATTTAATGCCACATATTTGCCATGGGCCTTCCTGGAGCCATTTGCTTGTAGAACCACACCTAAATATTTGAACTGGGAAACCTGCTCAATCTTGTGCTGATTTATCTTCCATGGTCGAGTTTTTGGTCTTTTTGCAAAGGTCATAATCATTGTTTTTTGATAATTGATTGTCAGATCTTCTTCCTTGCACTATTCAGTCAGCTTCTGCAGTGCTCTTGTGAGCCCAATTGGAGTCCTTGAAATAATAGCTGCATCATCTGCATATAGTAGTATAGTTCTATGCCTCCCAGCAATTTTGGGGCGGGGGGTGAAGATCGATGTGATTTAACTGGTTGACCAATGAGTTGATATAGAAAGTGAACAGGAGTGGAGCAAGAATGCAGCCTTGCTTAACTCCTTTTTGTGTTGGAACAGCATTTGTGAGGTGACCATGCGCACTGCATCTGACCTTGAGGGAGGTGCCTCTATATAGGGTCTGAATAAGTAGGAGTACGCACCCATCAATGTTGGAGGCATCTATTTTTTTCCATAGTTTAACCCTCGAGATGGAATCAAAAGCTGCCTTGAGGTCTATAAAGGCTGTGTAGAGTTAGGTGACTTTGCTTGAGATGTATTTCTCAATGAGGTGCTGTAGCACTAAGTATTGATCTATGGTGGAGCGACCCTCCCTGAAGCCGGCCTGGTCCTCCACCAATTGCATGTTCTGTTCGAGCCAATCTTTGAGCTTCACATATAGGTGCCTGGCATATAGTTTACTGATAATGCTTAATAGACTGTTAAGTCTATAATTTGTGGGGTCATCTCTCTTTCCTGTCTTGAATATGGGGACAATGATGGCAGAGCCCCAATCTGCTGGAATCTGCCTGGGCATGTCAATATAGGAGAATAGTGGCGCTAGAACTGGAACCCACCATTCTAAGTTGTTTTTGACCACCTCTGGAGGAATCAGGTCATTTCCTGGGGCTTTGCCCACTTTCTTTTTATTTTTTTTAATAAAGATTTTTATTAAGATTTTAAACTAAAACTAAAAAACATCAATCATCAAGTACATCGGACGTACTGGGTCAGCCCCCTATAACATATCTTTTTAACATTCTGTAATCATATTCAAATTGATTTATAAAAATTTAAAAACATCTTTAAATCTAAGCCAAGTCCTGCTTCTCCAGCCAATCATAAAAAGGTCCCAAGTTTGATAGAAGTCAGTATCTTCTTTCTCCTTCAGTAATAGAGTCAATCTGTCCATTTCTGCACAGTCCAGAATCTTTTTTAAAATCAGTTCCTCTGTGGATAGTTCCTCACTCTTCCAGTATTGAGCAAGCACAATCCTCGCCGCTGTGATTAAATGTAGCATCAAACACATTTCTTGTTTGCTAATATTTTCTGGTATAATGCCTAACAAGAAAATTTCAGGTTTAAAAGCTAAGGGTTTTTGTAGCATTTCCTTGAGCCATTTATGCATTTTAATCCAATACTTTTTCACATATTCACAGGTCCACCACATATGGTAAAAAGTACCCACATCATGTTTACATTTCCAACATCCGTTTGACATATTTGGAAACATCTTAGCTAATCGACTTGGCGACAAATACCATTTATAAAACATTTTATATAAATTTTCTTTATACGAAGTTGCTATAGTTACCTTAATATTTCTCTCACATAGCTTTTGTCACTTTTCTAATTCAATATTATATCCAAAATTTTGTGCCCATGCTATCATAGTTTCCTTAACCTGTTCCCCTTCCATTTTCCTGTCAAGTAAGAACTCATAAATTATGTTAATCATTATCTCATCTGTTTTTAGCATCACTTGATCAAAGGCTGTTAGGTCTTTATAAAACCCCCATATTTTACAATCTTTAACATATCTTGATTGCATCTGCACCTTATACCACCAAGACACATTGAGTCCCTGTTCTTGTACTTCTTGATCTAGTTTCAGGCCTCCATCCTTATCCAAAATATCATCATATCTTATGATCCCTTCAAAATTCAATACATTTGGATACACAAAAGCTTCCATAGGTGAAAGCCATCTTGGTAATTTATTATACAATTTTGACTGTAACTTTTCCCACACTGACATTAATGATCTTCTGATAAAGTGACTTAAAAAAGTCCCATGAGACTTAACCTTCTCGTACCACATATAAGCATGCCAGCCCATTTGCAAATCATGTCCTTCAAGACACAAAATTCTCTTATTTCGCAAGGTTATCCATTCTTTTAGCCAAGTTAAAATAGATGCTTGATAGTACAACACCCAGTCAGGAAGATCAAAACCCCCGTTCTTTTTGGTTTCCTGAAGCATTTTTAATTTAATCCTTGCTTTCTTTTTTCTCCAAAGAAATCTCAACATTTGAAAATTTAAATCCTCAAAAAATTTTTTATCAATTTTTACGGGAATCATTTGGAACAAAAACAAAAGTTTTGGTAGTATATTCATTTTAACAAGTGCTAGTCTTCCCATCAAAGACAATTGTAAATTGGCCCATTTTTCCAGATCACCTTTAATATCCTTCAATAATTTATCATAATTGTCTTCTTTCAAAGTTGTGCATTTAGCTGTAAGATAGATTCCTAAATATTTAACCTTTTTAACAATCTGCAAGTCCACTTGTTCTTGGAGTCTTTTTTTCTGATCTTGCGTAAGATTTTTAACTAAAAGTTTC